AAAGAAGAGCAGAGAATTTAGTGAAGATAAAAAGGTGAAAAATGATTAGTCTATGAATGTTTGTGTAACCTCCCCCGCAACATCAACGCCTCTTTCCTGTTTAATCGACCCCTGTTTTGACAAAAATTTCCCTCATTCTGTGTGCTGCACAAATAGCTCCACCCTCATGATGGAATCCATCAGCATCATCACCATCTGCTCTGTTCTTTCATGGATTCCCTTATATTCCCTTCGATTTCATTAGAACCATAGCCAAATACCCAGTTTTTATTTTGCAGAAAAAAATATGGAGGAGAAGCATGTTTTGTTCGGGAAATATGAGATGGGAAAGCTATTAGGGAAAGGTACTTTCGCGAAAGTCTACCACGGAAAAGTTTTAACGACGGGTGAAAGCGTCGCCATTAAATCATCAACAAAGATCAGGTGAGAAGAAGGGATGATGGAGCAAATCCAGCGAGAAATCTCCGTTATGCGCCTCGTCCGACATCCAAACATAGTTGAACTCAAAGAATAATGGCTACCAACAAAGATCTTCTTTGTCATGGAGTATGTCCGTGGGGTGAACTCTTTGCCAAAGTTTATAAAGGCAAGCTCAAAGAACATGTAGCTCGTAAGTACTTCCAGCAGCTGATTAGCGCCGTCGATTTCTGCCATAGTCGGGGCGTTTCCCACCGTGATTTGAAGCCGGATAATCTTCTCTTGGATGAAAATGAAGATCTGAAGATCTCTGATTTTGGGCTGTCTGCTTTGCCGGAGCAGATTCTCAACGATGGGTTACTTCACACTCAGTGTGGGACTCCGGCGTATGTTGCTCCCGAGGTTTTGAGGAAGAAAGGGTACGATGGATCCAAAGCCGATATCTGGTCTTGTGGGGTTATTTTGTATGTTCTTCTTGCAGGTTTCTTGCCATTTCAAGATGAGAATGATGAAGATGTATCGGAAAGTTTTCAAAGCCGAATTCGAGTTCCCGTGCTGGTTTTCGACTGAATCCAGGCGTTTGATCTCAAAACTACTTGTGTCGGACCCTGAAAAAAGGATCACAATCGATGCCATAATGCTCGATCCTTGGTTTCGAAAAGAATTCACACGTCCACCCGCGTTCTCGATCGAGGAATCAATCAAGGACGATGAATCGACTGTGTCAAAGAATGTGAAACAATCGTCTCCCAAGTTTTTCAATGCGTTCGAGTTGATTTCCTGGATGTCGTCGGGGTTCGATCTGTCGAGTTTGTTCGAGAGCAGAAGAGATCGGGGATGATGTTCACTTCGAGATGTTCGGCCGGGCAATCATGGAGAAATCGAAGCTGTTGCAAAGGGGATGAATTTCAAGGTGGGGAAAGCCAGGGAGGAGTTCAAGATGAGATTACAAAGGCCGTCGGAGGGGAGAAAAGGGCGGCTTTCGATGACGGCGGAGGTGTTCGAGGTTGCACCTGAGGTTGCAATCGTTGAATTCGCAAAGTCGACTGGTGATACCTTGGAGTATGCTAAGTTCTGCGAGGAAGATGTTAGGCCTGCATTGAAAGACATTGTGTGGACATGGCAAGGTGACAGTTTCGACATAGCAAGTACAGCCGCAAGTGACAACTTAACAGTTCCTAAAAATTAAGGAAAATCTTCTTTATTTACCTGCTTTTTGTGGTTGAAGATGAGAATTTGTAAATACGTACTTTGTTATTAGTACAATAATGGTATGGGTTTGAATTTTGTGTATACTGGCCATGGAGTTTTTGGTCCTTTTGTCGCTTTTAAAAAACTAAAAAGAAGAAGAAGACAGAATTCAAGTAACAGTGGCCGCCCGGTTTTGCCGATTGTCTGGTTTTATGACAATCATGGTGTGGAGATGAGAAAGTATTATATTTCCGGAGATAATTTTTGAAAATCATCGAGGTTTTTACGGTTCGGATTCATTAAAATTATTAATTTTTTAATAAATTAAGATTTAAGGTGTTTCTATTCATCAAAGTTTTCAATTAGTCTATATCCTCTAAATACATTTTTTAATGAACTACAGTGTATAAAAGAAAAAACCCTCTCATAAACCCACGTGATCGATAGAATAAAATTTGTCTAAAGATTATATTTATATAAAACTCGTTAACATACAAATAATTATAATATTTATATACATGAACTAAAGATCATTATAAATAATTCCCATTAAGATTGAGAAAGGAAATTAAAATCTTACTATCTCAATATTTTCTGTTTAATTTTTATTTTTAATATAAAAATATCAATTAATAATTATTTATTTATTGATAATCTAAATTGATTTCATTACCAGAAAGAAAAAGAAGAGTGGAGCGTTCGAAGGTCATGGAAAAAGAGATGTTAATCTAAACATCCTTTTTGTTGTTGTGCAAATTACAGCTCATATCGGACAATGATTTCATACACTGAATTCGGAAAATTCATTGGGTGACACGTCCCACAAACACTATACTTTAAACCACATTTAAGCACCACCAGTCGAGCACTCAATTTGCTTAAGGAATCAAATATTATATTATAGTAAGCCGAATCTTTCGATGTAAGTTGTAACAGATTTAGATTTTTAGGAGGCTTTCTATAACGCTTATAAGATGTAAAAGAACGTTTATTAAACGACAATATTTTTTTAATATTTTAGGGTTGATTTAATTTAAGATATTATTATTTTTTATAATATTTTTTGTTTGAATCGAAAATATTATATTTAAACACATAGTTGCTAATAGAATCAAATAGACAATTATATTATATTGTAGCATACACAACGTAATCTAAGATTAAGCAAAAAATATTCTTGGTAAGTAGCTCATCTAAACAAACGAACTTGCTTTGGCTTTTGAACATGATCAAATGACTTTGTAGTCACGTCGAGAATGTCGGTGACATTAGGTATTCAATACATTTGTTCTAAATAAGATGGTTTATAATTCTCATAATACATGTAACTCTCTTCTATTTTTCTTACTCGGAAAAGCTTGTTTTAATAAATATTTCTTCTTCTATTCTATTTTATGTGATGTGAATTAAACAGGTTGGGCCAAAATAGAAGCATCCATAATATGGAGACATGTAGCATTGCTCCACTAGCCGATTAAATAAACGAGTGGACTAATAAAAGTTGCCAACATTCAATTGGGCTGAGAAGCAATATTCACGTCAACGCTGCTGATTTCGTCTCTGGATTGGATCGTATCATACCTCTAATTTAAGTTTTTTTTAAAAATACTGCAATCCGAAATAAAATAATGGTAAGACAGTGAAGGTCAATAAAATTTGATTTTGTTTTAAACATTTCTTAATTTAACTCATTTTTTTAAAAAGTAGTTCTACTTTAATATTCAAACATTTTGTCTAAAAGTCTTTATAACTGTTTTATATATTTTTAGGTACTTGAAGTATCGAATATTACAGATTTTTAGACATCAAAAAAATTAACCTGTCTCCCGGTTTATATATCTGAATACTCACTAATGGAGTGCTGATATTTCAGGTCAAGGGTATTGATTAATATTTTTTTTAGAATTATGTTATTTTTTAAAAAAGAATCACATGAGAAAAAAAACTTAAAACTTAAAATATAAAAGTTTATAATACATGATTGACACATAAAAATTCAAATTACATAGTCCAAAACAAAACTTAAAAATCCAAAAAAAATAAAGAAATAGAACTAAATTGAGAATGTTTTGAAATTAAAAGAATAATTTTAAAAGTAATTTAAATATTAGGGTGAAATAATTTAAGAAAATAAAATTTAGAATTTTATAGTGAAATAATTTAAGCAATTGATTAGAATATTATGGTGAAATAATTTTGAAAATTGGGTGTGGAAATCTAATATAAAATATTAAAAAGAAAAAAAAATAGGGAATTAGGTATCCGCCGACCTACCGGGTTGAAACTTTCAGCCCATGACCCTGCACGTGACTCAAAAAATAGCAGATCGGATACTCAACCCTTAAATTCAAATATTTTAAAAGAAGTACCTAATTATTTTTATTTCAGTCCGCGGATCAACAAATCAAATATGTCGAGTCGAATAATTTTAAATACCTCTAATTTTCTCCATTGATTTCCTTCTAATTAACATATTAAAATTCTCTTTGGCATTAGAAATCGGAGGACATTACAGTTAGATTTTATAATTTGTCTAGCTCAAGATTAAGCGTCCTCTTCAAGGCATCATGTTTGAAAGAATAATTGACTAATGTGTTAAAAATATCATAATTTGTAGACTAATTTAGTCCATAGATTAAATTTGATCAAAAGAATAAGCCAGCACTGAAATTGGGTTAATTAGCAGTTGATATAAGTGGAAATTTAAATTTTACATTTCTTGAAAGTAAAAAAAGAGAGGCTAATTTCATGAAATTACCTTTATCTCTAAGAAAAAATATCTACTTTATTTACAGTCAGATCACTTTCCGTTATTTCTAAGATGTCTTTAAATTTAACTTTACAACCTGATTTAAGTCAATTGATGATTATGTATATTTTTGAATAAATTATTTTCATAATATATATATATATATATTAAGATTATTTTTTTAATATTTTATATATTAAAAATTATTGAATGAGTGGAAATAATAGTTAATGTTGATTTGAATGATTCTATATTTCGTGAAATTATCTTAAAAAAGGGATTTGGATGGGATGAATGAGGGAAATTGCTAGGTTGCTTCGTATTGCTTCTAGATTGATACTACCGTTTGACTCTTATGATCGCTGAGCATTGACTACTGCTTAGAGCCGTTCAATCGATACCCCGATTGTATTTCTTATGTAAGCACTACAACATTCTTATGAACGATCTCTTTTTTTCTCGAGAAACAAACACCTCACCCAAGTCCACGAATTTGTCTACAGCAACCAACACGCAGGGACAGTGGGACAGTATAAGAATTGTGAAGCTAAGTTGCTTACCTCATCTGAATGATGTCATGCAGATTAAAATCCCTCCATAGTTGGTGCTTCGAATATATTAAAAACCCATGACCATGATGATTTCAATAATTTCTTGACTCAGTCTCCCACTTCTAGTAAAATATTTCCAGTTTTTGAGAGCAAAACAAGACTACCTACTTTTAGGATGCTCCAAACCCTAATAAAGAGAAGGTATCTTGGTCTGTTTCTTCTTTTTCTTCTGGTGTTCCACTTTAAAAGATGAAAATTTTCAGGTGGAAACTCTTCGGAGGAGTTGGAAAAGTTGCAGAAAGAGAACGAAACTCTTAAATTAATGCTTCAAGTGATTAGCAGCAAGTACAAATGCTTCATCAACATCTCTCAAATAAGAGCCTCAGACCAGAGGTCAGTCAGCAGCAGCCAGCTGCTCGCAAGTTTTCGTGGAAACAAATCCTGGGGACGAAACCCTCGTAAGTCCTACCTAAAATAGGTTGTCGCAGTTGCAAAGATTAGGGATATTTCGACATGATTTATTCTTAAAAATAATGATGATTTAATTATAGATATAATTACAGTGCTATAGTAACACAGAAAAAAAATTATGATACTATTATAGACGTTGTAATCGTAATTTAATGTTGTATTGCATAACAGATGACTCATTGTAATATCTTCCTGATATATATAGTAGCTAACGTTAAATGTAGTGTGGCTTTAGAGAGTTGAAGATGGATTTCAATGGAGGAAATACGGACAGAAAGTCACAAAAAATAATCCATCCCCTCGAGCTTATTTCAAGTGTTCAATGGCTCCCGGATGCCCTGTAAAAAAGAAGGTATAACACACGCACATTATAATATTTTTTTATGCAAATTACGGTGAATATTCGATTAAGTCGAGTTAAAATATTTTCAATTACTCGAGTTGATGACTCTTATTTATAAACTCAAATTTTATTTAAATTTTGTTCGAGTTTTTAAAGTTTCTATTTAAATTTAATTATAATATGTATAATGTTGTTATACTAATTGATTTTAATATATATATATATATATATATATATATATTTCTTCGTATTTTTTATAAGTGATATATGTTATCATGTATCAACCCTCTCCCTCAAACTACAAAACTTGGTGATTGTAATTTTTAAGACATTGAAAGATGAATTACACCTCATGATCTTGTTTTATTTTCTAGGTTCAACGATGTTTGGAAGACAAGCTTTTCTGATGGCAACATAAGAAGGACAACACAACCATGACGTTGATCCTACAATAGGACTATCTTCGACTTCCCCCGGAAGCTCCGCGATAATCTCCGCTACAACGTCGAAGTCTGAATTTCGTGTTTCCGGTTCTCAATAACCCTTTCGACCAAGCATCACTCTTGATCTCAATCTATCAGGCTCTAACCATGAAAAACTGCAGAAACGATGTAACTATGACGAGAATAGAATTGAAGACTATGCTGCAACCTTAGCAAAAGATCCTAATTCACTGTAGCTTTAGCGGCAGCCGTTGCTCGCTACATCGCGAGCACCCTAAACCACCAACTCCATAAACTCCGATGAAAATTGAATTTCTTAAAATTATTAGGTAAGGGTTTTGTTAAATCTAAATCCAAGTTTTAAGTTTTCAAATGCTATATGAAGCGTTAGTGCAAACAATTTGCATTATCCTTTTTGATATTCTATGGATATATATATATATATATCTTAATTTTGTATATTAACAATATGTTTTGAATTATTAGATAAACTTATATTAACAACTGATTAATCCTAATTTTATGTCTTGAATTTTATATTAACAATATGGAGCGTAAAATTTAGATAAAATTCAGTAGAAAAGAATTCTATAAACTTCGTCTATATCAATATTCTTAATTTATATTAGAGTAAAGTATATAAATGATCCCGACTATAGGACCTTTCCTTGTTAAATCTCCAAACTATAAAAGTTAGAAAATGATCATCTAACTATAGGAAGTTATTTTGTTGAGTCCCTTGGCTATTAAAAGTTATGGTCCTTTAAACTGGACATTAACATGTTGACTGAAATTGATAAAATAATTTTAATGATTTCTACTATATCGTTGCGTTCAAGCAATGACTTGATGACATAATCTTTTAAGTACTAGCTCAACAACATAATGTAAACGAAAGAATTGATTCAAAGTATAACTCAACCAGTTATAGTATCAAATTTTACACTTGATATTAAAAGTTAATATTGTTTAAAAATAATTATAACAAATACATTTAATAAAATACTCTTATATAATCTTACATTACATTTTACCACCAAACATCACAATCTTATATTCCCCACCAAATGAACCAAAGAAGCTAATATAAAATTTTCAAAGTTAATAAAACATTCTCAATAACATGTCAAATAATTTTACATCCTAATAATCTTATGCGAAAAAATGTTATATTTCGTGAACCAAACGTTTCTTAATAAAAATCAAATCTTTCTTCTTGCTGTTGGTGTTTTGGTGAGTCATACACCAAAAATCTCATAGTTTCCGAAGAAAGAGATGTTTCATATAAAAGGTTCTCTCAATGCTGTAGGCAGCAGCAATTCGGGCTCTAATTCCCAAGTGGTGTGAAATAGTACTCTACCATGTCTTTGCTCACCTCTTCCACCCTTGGAGGATCCCACTGCAAATCGATCACACAAACATGAGGAAGAATATAGACGTATGTGCGCGCGTGTCGTTGGAATATATATTAACAAATACCTTGGGAGCAAAATCCTTGTCCACTAACCAAGCACGAACACCCTATACAAACAGCTCGATTAAGCTCGCGCAGGTATTCGGGAAACACTCTTTATGTAAAAGGAGAAATATAAAGACCATACCTCGGAGAAATCATTAGAGACCTGTTTGGAGATCCCTGCAAGGGACATCCTATATTCTCGTGCCAGACACTGATCAAGAGATTGAAATCTACCTTCTCGTATCTAATTCGACAAAGAAACCGAATAAAGCAGTTAGCAGCCAAGAATGGAATTTAAAGTTGTAAACACTAGTCACTTACAGATCTTAGAGTAACTTTCAAGCTCAACGGTGAGGCTCCTTTCATTTTCCTGAGCACTGTCTTGCACCAATCATCATATTTTTTCAGCTGCCTCAGTTTCCTGAATTAATTAATTTTTGGAACATTCAATGGAACATGTAGCCAAGTGGACAGCATACACGAATGTACATACATGACTGCGCAGAATTAAGCTTACCAGAGAATCATAATTTCCTCAACAGTGTCATGGCAGAAACATTTATCGATCGTCTCAGCCCTGAAACAAAAATCACGTGATAACGCCAAGACAAATATAGTAACTGTCCTCAAGTGCCATGGTCACTGAAACAACTGTTACCTGTGAAGAATGCTGCTTCTATCCGGATAAACAATGTCGCCGTACTGTGCAAGAGAAGACTCGATGGCAGTAGGATCATCGTTCATCAAGCTACCCAGATGTTCTTCAATCCAAGCAAGCCGCTGTCACGGAAAACTCATTCAAATAAGCCGAGAAAAGAGGAGCCAGAGGAAAAGCACAAATACACATGGAGCAGAGAACAAACAGCATTTAAACAATAGTGCGTAGCCAGGCTGCAGGCAATCATTTCGACACCGTTAAGCTTTTCTCCCGTTAGTGCTAAGCATTCCCCTGATTAAAACAGTACAGGTGAACTTGTTAAGATGAATGGAATGTGTATCCAGATACAAGCAAATAATCTGGACAAATGAAACATTCTTACATTTTAAACTAGAAAATTATATGAAAAAACTAAGCTTCGTATATCAAGGAATTTAGTTACGTATTTGAAAACTTATCAAAATGGTCATCACCTAAGTAACCAGGTAGGCGAGAAAGATAAAACGAAGCCCCTGCATCAGGATGGAACCCCAATTGAATCTCTGGATGAGCAAAAGCCTGAAAATGTTTTGCATAGTAAGACAGTTATACGAGTCCAGACACTCGAAAGGACAAATATGGTGGCGGAGGGATAGGGGAGGATATTTCGAGCTCTCATTCATTCAAATGATCTCCGATTTTCTTTATCGAAGGCAACAGTAATATCATAGTATATATCTCAAACAAATACAAGAAGAGAAGAATGGTTTTATCATTCTAATTATAAAATGTTTCCATGCAAATGATATCACCCTTCCTTCTTCAGGCTGTCACACCGCCAGAAGCATGAAGCGGAATTTATAGTGCATTGAAGGTATGCTACCTAACCATTACTAACAGATAAAAGTTCAATCCTCATACAACAAGAACAAAGAAGAAAACAATTTCTAACCACAAGGGTACAAATTTTCAATCCGTGCATGACAAAATGAATTAAAATAAATCATATGCCAATCATAAGAAACATAATGAATCGGATCAGTACACGAATTCTAAAACAAGAATTTTTTGTGAAGGAATGGCACCACACACAGTTTTATCGGTCACTAAACGAAACATCCCTGGGAGAGAGATTCCACCTCCACATCCCATCGTTACCATCCAAGATCGCCACCTGCGTGTACGGGCAGTACATTTTTATCACAAGTCTCATATGCAACAAAACAATTCAGAAGTAATTCACATGGTATCCATCTCTCAAAGGTTGAATTCTCACATGTGGCTTCAAATATGTTCCTTGTACGTATACAAACTTATATAGCGTCTCGAAAAAACTTTTACATTCTTCAACTTTCCCTGCACAGGTATAAGAAGTTGAACCATGAATCACAGTTTATTAAAAAGCTAAGACTTAGTCATGATTACGAGAAGAATACAGCAATTTAATCAGAAGGAAATTCCATGGAGATGTTTGATGTATAAATTAAGGTATCGATTAAAAATAGTTTTGAACACTCAACACTCGTGTTCATGAAAATTACTGCCCAACTATGTTGCTCTCAGTTCAAATTGATCATAATGGACACCATAATCAGGCTGCACTTAGTTTTAAACCATCTAATCAAGTGACTGAACAAAATCGATAGGTGGCTAACCTTCATTAAGTGAGTGATAGAGAGAAACAGCATCAACACCAGAACAGAAAGCACTGCCACTACCCTTCAACAAATTTCAAAACAACAGCTTAGACGATGAAGATCGAAATGTCAAGGGCATGAAGAAATTCCAATTACAGAAGACAAATCCAATGTTATACCTTCATTAAGACAAATCCAATGTCAGGGTTCTCTTCCCAAGATTCATACAATTTCTTCAATCGAGATGCCTATAAATCGAAAAACAACTTCAATTTATTCAAGACTGGAAGTCAAAAGGCATGGACTTTAAAAAGCAAAAGAAGAAAAGAGAAAGAGCAGGAAATTAACCATTGAGTTGGTAAGTGAATTGAGAGAGAAGGCCTATTGAGAATGGCTGTTCTTGATTTAGCTCTTCCTTGCACTAAAAACCTGAAACATTTCACTCGCCAATTAGCAATCTTGACACAAAACATGAACTTGGGTCTTCCATTTTTCTCGGAAAATTCACAAATTTAACCACAAAAATCATACTTGACACAGATAACTATAACCCACAGAGAGAGGAAAAAAACAATCATTTTCTCAAAGACCTGGTCTTGGAAATCATCATATGGGTTGTAGAGTGGCTGAGCAGAGAAGTATCTTTGATGGGGAGAAACCCAAGTTTTTGAAATGACTGCCTTGCTTTTAGTAAACCTTTCACTCTCTGCATCTTTGTTCTTCTTTTCTCTTTCAATGTTCCTTTGCCTCTGAGCTATGGAGAACTAAGCCTTTGTTTGTTGCGTTTTGCACGGGGGTTTTGGGGTTTATTTTAGGATTGATTGTAGCCGTTGGATTTACTGATTGCATTAGTCAAAACAGAAAACTCGGTTAGGTATAAGTAAAATGAACGAACCATATTAAAAAGCCCGTTAAGGGATGTTTGTTTGTCTCTTAATGAAATTATTCAATGTGTTTTGTTTCATATCTCTGAATGATTTTGTATTGATTGATTCAGTAAAACATGTTGAATGATTCAACACATAAATATTATGAATCATTCAGACAGTTATCAAACAACATATCACATTCAGAGCTAAACATTCAAAGTCTCTGAATCATTCAGCATCTCTGAATTATTCAACGCTTAATGAGTAAACAAAAGCTCCTAAGTGTTATGAATACAATCTTGGTCAAATTCTGGTTTTGGTCCATCTACTATACTCATTTTGGATTTAGTCCCTAAATATTTTTTTGGGCATAACGGATCAAACATGAAATTTCTTGTGCCGTGTAAGCACGTATGTGGCTGACGATATATTTACAATGGTTGACTTAGTGAAAGCCGGATAAAGATTCCCGATTGGTTTTCCGTGCTGAATGGTCAATCCAAATGGCCGATCCAATCGAGTTGTAACCTGGCAACTTGTAATACTTGAACATTTCATATGAAAATAGATGATCATAACAACTGGATACAAGATGTTTGAAAGAGAAATTGATTACATTTTTCTATGGGTGGAAACATAAGCTACAGACTTGTTTCATGCCATAAAATCCTACAGCTTTTTACACTTCCAACAGTTTCAGGTTTCTTGATGAACAAACCCCACCATCCTTCTCTAGGAAATA